TATCAAAGGCCACATACGGTATGAAAATACAGAAAGGGAAATTCAAGCTCTGCCTCCCGAAGAGACGTACAAATACCTGGGAATAGAACAACATGGCTCAATAGATCATAGTAATAGGAAAAAAGAGTATAAAGAAAAATATAAAAAGAGACTTACCAAACTACTTAATACTAAACTAAACTCTAAAAATCTAACTATAGCCGTCAATACCTGGGCAATATCTGTACTGACCTACTCTTTTGGAATTTTAAAATATACCACCACGGATTTGAAAGAATTAGACCGTCTAACACGCAGAGTGCTAACTAAATTCAGATATCATCACCCCAGATCCGCCGTTGAGCGAACGCATCTGCCAAGAAGTGAAGGAGGACGTGGGTTTATATGTATAGAAAAGCTATGTAAAGAACAAGAGCAGAAAATGAAGGAATATTTTAACAAAGTAGATTGCCCAATAATAAGATCTATTGTGACACATGATAATAAATATACACCCCTAAATCTATCGGAACAAGAAGAACACATATCACCTATCAGTAATCAATCGATGGCAACATCATGGAGAGAAAAAGTTTTACACGGAAAATACCCAGCTGCATTGACACAGCAAAACATTAATAAAGAACTTTCGCTAACTTGGTTAAGACAAGGACAACTATACCCGGAGACTGAGGGATTTTTAATAGCAATACAAGATCAAGTAATCCGTACACGAAATTATGAAAAACATATCTTGAAAGCGAATGTAGAGGATGTATGCAGAAAATGTCGAGCACCTAATGAAACAATAGAACATGTTACTGCTGGATGTTCTGCACTGTCAAATAGTGCTTACCTAGGCAGACATAATCAGGTAGCCAAAATAATACACTCCCAGTTAGCCCAAAAACTAAACCTAACTGAAAATCCTCCACCGTACTATCGCTATAATCCTGAGTCTATTTTAGAATCAAGGGAGAACATTTTATATTGGGATCGACCGATACTTACTGATCGAACAGTGGATTACAACAGACCTGATATCGTCATTATAGGTAAAGAAACCAAAGAAGCATTTATAATAGACATTGCTTGCCCACTTAGCCATAACGTTGCGAAAACAGAATTAGAGAAAACCACAAAATATGAAAACCTTGCCATAGAAATAAAGCATGTTTGGGGCATGAAGAGAGTACAAATAATCCCAATAGTAGTTTCGGTTACAGGAATTGTCTCCATAAACCTTCCAAAACAATTAGAAAAATTAAATATACCTCCTATTATACCACATCTACAAAAAGCAGCCATTCTACAGACCTGCCATATAGTGAGGAAATTTTTGGGCGTGTTGGAATAAGATGAATTTCTTCTTCAACACTGTCTACTGCAACCAGCAATTAGCTGAGAAAAATCAAAAAAATCAAAACAAAATAATAATAATAATAATAATAATAATAATAATAATAATAATAATAATAATAATAATAATAATAATAATAATAATAATAATAATAATAATAATAATAATAATAATAATAATAATAATAATAATAATAATAATAATAATAATAATAATAATAATAATAATAATAATAATAATAATAATAATAATAATAATAATAATAATAATAATAATAATAATAATAATAATAATAATAATAATAATAATAATAATAATATTAATAATAATAATAATAATAATAATAATAATAATAATAATAATAATAATAATAATAATAATAATAATAATAATAATAATAATAATAATAATAATAATAATAATAATAATAATAATAATAATAATAATCTCCCTAATTCACCCCCTTACGAGTGAATTTTAACCCCAAAACCTGAGCTTGTGCGGGGAAAGGGACGGCTATTATTATTATTTGCCGTGGCGCTCCGGGGCGACTTAAAGATGATTGATGGTGCTATTTGACTTACAGGTGAGGAAAACCCGGAAAACCACACCCACCATCATCGAGACGCTAATGTATGGCGATTTTTTATAATCTACATGTCATATCAACAGAAATTGAATTTCTATTAATACGGCACACATCAAATCCTATACCGAACCATGCAATTTAATTAAAAATCCACATGGTCTGGTCTAGGATTCGAAGCCCAGCAGTTTATGACACATAAACTTGCTTATAAATGAATATAAGCGCGTTAGACCGCTACATCACCGACCCGATATATCGAGCACACGTAGTATTCTGTGCCGATTATCTATTGGCCGCCATTATTTTGGTGACACAAAGTTTTTGTTCGTGTTTATTTCTGTTTTTTTAATTAAACGACATTTTTTAATTGGTGTTTATTGTGTGGCATATCAGTGTAAAAGTTATAGCGGCAAGAAAAAAGCAGATATTACGTTTCACAGGTAAATGATAAACATCAATCGTTTTCACTTGATATATTTTCTTATATTTTTCATTTTATTTGGTGTTATACAACTTGGTATTTACATATTGTACATGTCTCACTCCAGAGTAATAAATTTTACCCACCAAGTTTGTTTATTTCATGCTTTTCATTGATATTTATGCAATTAATGATATTAAAATAGCCAAACATGTAATTTTTTCCAGTGGCGTGCCGTACAATTCTAAATATTAACTTATATTAAATTCTAATTTACTTTTGCTTTTTATTTAATTGCTGCAATATTTATTTGTTATTTCATTTTAGATTTCCTGTGGATCTAGCAAAAAATCTTTGGATTAAGGCAACGAAAATTGCAAATTGGATGACTACGCCAAATGATAGATTGTGTTCAAAACATTTTGAAAGACTTTTTTTATAGGACGGTCTGTAAAAGACGTTTATTAAATGGAGCAGTTCCCACTATATTTCCTAAATTCTCTAAATACATGCAACCGAAGAAGGTGCGTATACTAATAAACATAAATAAACATATATATTTTTTTAATTACTTTTCATTATTATGTTAAGAACTTTTAAGAATTTCGCAACCCTTCTGTGTATAATTGAAAACATTACTGTAGCAAGTTTATGAGTCTGAGACTGCTGGGCTTCGAATCCCAGACCAGACCATGTGGATTTTTAATAAAATTGCATGGTTCGGTTTAGGATTTGATGTGTGCCGTATTAATAGAAATTCAATTTCTGTTGATATGACATGCAGATTAAAAAATCGCCATGCATTACCGTCTCGATGATGGTGGGTGAGGTTTTCCAGGTTTTCCTCACCTGTAAGTCAAATGGCAACATAAATCATCTTTAAGTCGCCCCGGAGCGCCACGGCAAATAATTCCCGTCCCTTCCTCTACACAAGTCATTCAGTCGACTTCAGGGGTTGAAATTCACTCGTAAGGGGGTGAATTAGGAGAGTAATATTATTATTAATATTAATTGATTGTTTGTAGTACTTAAAAAGAAGAGTATTGCATTTGGAAGCTGAGCCAGGCCCTTCAAATAGAACTTCAAATAAAGAATCTATCCTAGAAAGCCCTAGCATAAAACGGCTTAGAAAACAACTCTTACAACAGGTAGAAAAGAATAAAGACAAAAACAAGACAAATCAAAGTTCTTAAACAAATACTTAAAAGATAAAAAAAGAGTTGTTCGCTAAAACTTCTTGTTATTGTACCAAATTAGTATTATTTAAGGGTCAGTAATAAATTTATCTTCATTTATGTATAATTTTTCCTACTAGCTTAATTTAATAATATCCAGATAGCACACTACATCTTAAAGACGTCCAGTTCATGTCTTACTTTCGTCCAAACGTCCTGGTACGTAAAACGGACTGTTTTAAGACTCAGGCCATGTTTAAAACGTCTTTGTTGGGATGTTTTTAGAACGTTTTAAATATGTCGGTAATGAGGACGTTCAACTCTTCTCGCTATATTTGAATGGCGCCACAACAGCGTTCTTGGCGCTGCCTGCTGCCTGGCTGATTAGATAGTCTCGCGCGCGCGTATCGAGTCGTGTTCTTCCTCTAGCTGCCTTCTTCTCGGGACAGCCATTGTATAATATTTTTAGCATCAGTCTGTGGACATTGTCATTACTTTTTCGTAGTTGTGTTTTTATATATTGTCTTTTTATATTATTGCAGCTGTAGTATACAGGAACTAGTAAACTTTTTTATATTATTGCAGCTGTAGTATACAGGAACTAGTAAACTTTATCATTAAAAACGGTAAGTTTTAATTTATTTGCCTTTTAATCTCATAACCTCACTTTAATAATGTCTTATTTTTTAGAAGAACACCTTAAAACAATAATTCAACAAAATTATATGCTAGTTACAAATGCTTTGGCTAAAATTAATACCATAAAAGAAATTTTTAAATCGACCAAACTGGAAAAAGTAGGATTTCCGGGAATAGTTTCTCATAGCAACAAGTACTTGAAGTCATTTTTTAATTATTTTATCCAACACTGTAACATAATATTTACTCTGTGTCCGTCTTAATAGTTTAATAATGTATAATAAACAGTATTAAATATAGTCTTTAAAACATCTTTTGGAAATTAGCCTAGATCTTCAAAACGTCACGAACGTCGTGAACAACCTTATTTAAGATGTCTTTAAAACGTGTCTGTGCTATCTGGGTAGTGTCATTCTTTATTAAGTAAAAATAAATATTTCTGTAATACATGTAGATCATTATGTTTTATTTTGCAGAATTTAAAAAAAAAACACTCATTTTATTATGTAAACGATTTCATTCAGTTTATTTCAATATATTTTTTCTTGTGTCTTACTTATTATTACTTATTTATTTTAAATTTTACGCTTTGAACTTGCTTTATACCTAAAAAGATTAATGAAGTACTAATAGCATAAATACAAGTTCGTTTTTTTATTCAAACATGTTACGCCTTTGGTCGAATATCGTTGGTGTCCGAATGGAACAAGATTTTCAGCGACGTTATTAGTCCTCTCTTTATTACCTAGTCTAAGGTTTTACGACAGAGTAACTCAGTGAAATATGTGAAACTTCCATGGCCAAGTCCGATTAAAAAACTGAACGGCGAATACATACCTGAATTGAGTTAAACGAGTTCTCCAATAAGCCCTTGGGTTCCGAAAATAGTGCATGGAACCACTGTATATCGAAAAGGCTTTTCCATTTAGAAAAAAACTAGTTTCATTTGTAGTTACACCAGATGTTATTTTAGTCGAAGCGAAGTATTCATAGTTTGTTGGTAAATCTTGAGCTAGAGACTGTAACACTACTATACACAATGTCCATATAAATACAAACATTTTCTATTGAGTAACTTTAGTGTTTGGTATATGAACTATTTTAAAATGCTGGTATGAAACAATATCGGTTATAATCAGTGGTAATGATAACATGAATAATATGTGGAGTAGGTTTAAATTTCAAGTTTTTGAGACCATGTGACATTAATATCAAATGTTTGATAAGGTATTATTCAAATTTATTACAAATATAGTTGACAAAATCGAATTTGCGAACGAAAACATTTAATGGTGCGATTTAGACTTTGTCAAATAAATTTTCAAAAATGAAGCACTCGAGGACTATAGCAAAATTGGAAGAAAATCGGTCTTTAAAAGTCAAGTGGCTCTTAAATTAAATGTCAGTAAAAGTTGCATATTTTACGTTAAGAAGCACTAGTAAGAAGAACAAAGATTGCGAAGTCCTTTCAGACAGGGAAGGTCACTAATGAAAATTAAGACAATGCTTTCGTAGAATATATTCGTCAAAATCCTTTTGGAACTGCTATGCAAGCACGATGGTAAACATTATTCCCATGTGCTCTAAAACCGGCTCAAATGCGTTTAAAACCAGCTGTCTGCTAAGTTTTTGACTGCAGAAAATAAACGCAGGAGCTTTCAGTTTGAAAATGAATTTTTAATTCACAGGGAGGAGTTTTGGAAAAACGTATTATTCTCCGATGAAAAGACGTTCAAATCTTCCAACAGCGGAAGGCTCTTAATGTTTGGTCGTGGATAAGCGGGCTGGAAAATTTAACGATTAACAACCGAGCATTACATGAACATCTTAGACAATGTGATGTTATCATTAGTAAGAAAGGTTTTTCCTGACAACTTTACCGGCGTAACTTTCGTTTAGCCGAAATCAGTTATGCAAAAAATGTTGCCATGGGCACGCTTGTCATGTTACCGACTAAACAAAAACCCAAATCTCGTGGTGGGAAAATACATAGTTGCCAAGTTATAGATCATTTAATGTTCACTTTAGTTTAGCCGAAATAAGTTATGAAGAAACTGTTGCCATGGAAACACTTGTCATGTCAACGGCTAAACAAAAACCTAAATCTCGTAGTGAGAAAATGCGTAGTTGCTAAGTTATAGATCATTTATTGTTCACTTTAGTTTAGCCGAAATTAGTTATGGAAAAAGTGTTGGCATGGAAACGCTTGTCATGTCAACGACTAAACAAAAACCCAAATCTCGTAGTGAGGAAATGCATAGTTGCCAAGTTTTAGATCATTTAATATTCATTTTAGTTTAGTCAAAATCAGTTATGAAGAAATTGTTGCCATGGAAACGCTTGTCATGGTCAAAGACTAAACAAAAACTCAAATCTTGTGGTGAGGAAATGCGTAGTTGCCAAGTAGTGGTTAGTAGGTAAATGGAACGAGCGTAGCGTGATCTTATGATATAGGTGGAAACAGGGAGCGCCCGGCCAACGTTTCGAAATTTGCGTGCGCGAATTTCGAAACGTCGGCCGGACGCTCTCTCTTTGCTCGTTTTCCTCTGTAGTGGTTAAGAGGTGGGAGCGTAGCGTGATCTTATGATTGGAAAAAAGGCGTGCCCGGCCAAGTTTCGAAATTCGCGTGTCGGCCAGGTGCGCTCGCTTCGCTCGCTCTCCTCTGTACTTGTTAGGAGGTGGGTGGAAGGAGCGTAGCGTGATCTGATGGAGAAACTGTTGCCATGGAAACGCCTGTCATGCTAACGACTAAACAAATCCCTTAGTGAGAAAATTATTAGTTGTCAATTCATAGAATATATATGTTAAGAGTTAAAATAAATATAAGAGGCAACTGTGCATTTCCTTACCGGATTTAGGTTTTTGTTTAGTCGTCATCTCGACAAGTGTTGTTTTGACAACGAGTTTTCCGTAACCGATTTCAGCTAAACTCAAGGGAAAATTAAAAGATCTGTAACCATAGCCCTCTGAAAGTCTAGATACCTCGAATTTTTTAACTAGGGAAAGATATACTTACATCGGTAACAAGGTATTTTAGAAAAACTAATAGATTACTCCTATTCCTATAGTTTATTTGAAAATGAATAATAGCAAAATTATATAAAAATATGGACCTTTGCCATAAAAACTGTGCTACCAAGCATTTTCAAATAAACTATAATGATAATTTGATTTAATAGAGCGAGTATAAGATCTCACCTGTTAGAGAAATTGGGGCATAGGGAAGAGATTATGAAGCAGGTAAGCAAAGTCATTGCAAAAGATAAATATAAGGAAGTTATTTTAAAAATTTGATAAAAAACTAGTGGAACAACAAATGGAGATCCAATCAGCAGAAAGTAAAAAAAAAACTTTGGGAATGTTGGAAAAGGGCCCAGCAATAGGCCCAAAACAATTACTTGGTTTTTTAATAAATATAATCTGAGATGTAAAAAATACTGCTAGAGTGGAGAAGCAGTATTGTTCTAATGTAGAAAACCCAGGGACATACAGTAGTGCACTAACCATAGGCGAATAGTCACTAAATTATACAAGAGGAGATTTTATTTTTAAATATTTTTGAGAATACTTATTATTATTTGTTACATTGAGTTTAATAAAACCACAGATTTCGAATGTATTGAAAGTTATTTAAAAAGTACCTCTATAAATATATAGAAAATGTGTATATGACTAACTGGTTTTATTAATCTTTTTTTGGGGTAGATAAATATATTTTGAAAAATTTACAAACTTCTTTTGAATAAAAGACAAAATATTTCTGTTTTTATTAACTGAACAATATTTTATACGAACATAATATATACCTATTTAAAAGAAAATATTACATTTTACAAGTATCGCATATTTATATGAAATAACTTACTCAATAAGAAAGAATTAAATGAAACAAATTAATAAACAATGGATATGAAAAATTGCTTTAACAATTTAATCCTTAGATAAACTTATTCTTACATATTGCTTTAATCAATTTATTTACTATAAAAGTATATTTCCTATCATTTATTACATATAATAAAATAAAGCATAAAACATACTAACTATAATATGTACCTACTTAGAACGGAACTAATATTATTGTATCAAGGTAGTAATAGTGGACATTTTCCGGATAAAAAAAAGTAAAAAAGAAGTAACGGTCGACACGTTTTTCTGACTATTGGTCTTCATCAGTACGGTGCAGCCAAGTTCAAAGGATCATGGAATTTGTGTTGGAAAAATTGTACAATAGGTCACTAACAAGGAGCCAATAACACATTTGCCGTTTCAGCTAGTATCCCCAAATTTTCTGGGCTTATACTAAAGTCACAAAATGATTCAATGGTCTTCCTATGGCTGTCAGTTATTCTTTCCTAACATTTTTTGGTATGCTACAACAAAACATACAAATTATTTGATTTTGTAAATACACAAATATTTGTGAAAACTTACACATGAAATGTTATTCCTTCCTTGTATCTTCTACCGTTAGATGCATTGTTACATTCACGTACAAAACAAAAAGAGATTTTGAAAATCCTGTAAAAATTTAACACCAAACCACAAATGTTTTTTATTAAAATAAAACACTAAACGACTAAACTAAAAAATAATGTTTTAAATAAAACCTTTACTAGAAGAACGAAATAAACAACACAACAGATAATAAAATCGATTATATACGTCGAACGCCGATCTTACGCTTATTACTAAACTTGCGCCGATTCTGTCTTGTCAGTAGTGCCAACTTAAAATTTATTGACATTTATTTATCATGGCGCCCATCATATGGGGAGTCAAAATGTTTTTACGATGCGGTATCTAGACCTTCTGAGGGCTATGTCTGTAACCTATCAACTATGTATTTACTTAATACGGGTTTTGTTTAGTCGTTACTATGACAAGTGCCTCTATGGCAACAGTTTCTCCGTAAGAAGAGCTCGTAGATTCCTACGACATGCGACATTTCATTTTGTCCACACCAAGAAGATTGAAAAGTGTTGTGACAGCCAATGGCCCTAAAATAACAGAACTATTCTTGCTATAGCTGTTAAATTTCGAGAAGAGCATTGTCTGAGCTGACGTCGTTTTCTTTTTCCTCATCCACGTAAGGGTTCCTTCTTGTTACAGGGGAGCGAGATGAAGTGTAGATTTGTAGAAATTGTAGAATGTATTATTTTATTGGTGAACTACTTGTTTATTTTAACACTATAAACTTTGCATTGGGTCACATAAAATTATTTACATAATTTTAAACTTTTATAATGAACATTCCTTTATTTTGTTTCAAATATAAACGACGTGATCTTTGAAAAGTTGGGCGAATTGGCCTTTAGGAGCAGTATAAAGGGTTTTGAATTTCGTTGGGCGAAGTGTATTGAGCGACAAGGAGACTGTGTCGAAAAATAAGAGGATTACTCCGTATTGTGTTTTTCTCTCTTAAACTGTAAATTATTCAACCCATCATCGTATATTTACATTTTATTTCAAGATAGCTCTCCTTTTAATAACTATTTAATGACCTATTGTAGCGGTTGGTTTGATCAGTGGTCTGATTTAGGGTAAAAGACATAAATATGTCGCGGTGGCTTGAACTGTGTCATTATTGCGAAGGGTTTAAATATTTCTTAAACTAAATGAAAACAATGAATTTTTATTGAACTATATAAATATGTACACACAAACTTCTATACATTTAATTCTAATTGTAAGATATAACAAATAACTTAAATATTATTTTATCTTAAATGTCGAGCAACAATTGCGTATTTATTTTAATTCGGGTTTTTACAAACGAATAAAAATATTTATTATATTTTACAGTGTGTTTTTTTAAATACATGTAATTTTATCAGTTGGCTAAAAATAACACTGTTAACTTCAGTGGTAAATATAAAACAATGTCACTGATCTATTTGATAGAACTGATACTTAAGATGTTTCTTGTTTTACCGGATATTATTGACTTGTTACTAACCGACTTAATATGTACATGTATTTCAAAAACATTCTGTATATTTTAAGAGGTAAATATACCCTTACCATAACTAGCTACGCATTGTCTTTACCTTAAAATAGTTGTTTAAGGTCAGTAAGCAGGTAAAAAATTTAACATTAATTCTAACATTAAAATACGTAATAAGATGAATGAAGAAGAATAAATCGAAACTAGGCTATTTTACAACTCGATACCCAGACAGCACACGACGTGCATTGGACGTCCAATGGACTCTCCGTTATCCAATGGATATACCGATTCAGAAGTCCAAAGGATGTACAAAAAATATCCATGATAAAACACTATAAAAATGACAAACTTATAGTAAGTTATTATAATTCTTCTAGTATAATTTAATTATTTACAACTAGGTTTTAATTAAAATAAGTCAATTAATTTTCCTCTCCTCTTCGCTACTTTTGACGAGATATAAAAGTAAAAGGCTATTCAGGCCCGACTCGAAGAAGAAAAGAAGAAGAAAGCGGTTAAAAACAAAAAAAAAACACAAGAACGACTCACAGCATAGATAAAATAATATTAATGTATCTATAGCTCACAGCCCACATGTAGCCCATAGACATGGAGTTTATCTGGTAAGAAAATAAGTATAATTAAAATTAAATTATTTGAAACTCCAAAAATTAAGAAGCAAATAGTTTGTTTTAAACTAATATAATCTATCAATTATGTTTTAAACTTTATATTTTTGATTTACATTCAAAGAATCCCTTTCTTTTAGACCTGTTGTCAAATGATGTAGCTAATTATGAAAATGGCCTTACTAGAAGCTAACTAATAAGCTGCAAATTCGAGATGATGTCAACATAATTATTATTGTAACTAAGAGGAGAGAAACCTTCCAAAGTAGGAGAAAAAAAATTCAAGTTTCTATTTGTACCGCATGAGACGTTAGCGGAAGTAAAAGACTATTTAGAAGATACAAATATTTTTAAAGAAGCTGTAAGTTTTACTTTTATTAAATAAAATAGAATCGTTTTTTAACGTTTAAGAAATAATGCATTGAAAGTGGTTTCATAAGTTATTTCTCTTGTAATGTTCACAAATACACATTTTTATTGCAATTTTATATTCAGTAGTTACCAAAACCAAGGACAATTAACTTATAAAAAGATGTAGACTTGTCCAAGGTCGAATACTGAAGCAGCTAAATGGGCGTAGTCGGCAAAAAGTAGAAACTGAACTTTTAATATTGCAAGAAAATATGAATAGCAATTTTTGTTGTCATGGGCATTAAGTACCGTAAGATTGGGTGACTTGAGACAGAACTTCACGTTTTATGAAAAGAGCCTGCAACTCTACTTTGGTCTCGTGGTGTCAGTCGGCACATGTCTTACTACACCGACAGGTTATTTTTCAATGGGTTAGTGGTTTTTTTTTGTATTTTAAAAAGGTAAATAAATAAAAATCACATATTTTGTTTTCTGCAATTATCAAAATTAAAAAATAGCTGAAAAACTCTTTCTATACAGGCATAACTTACCAATATCTTAGTTTATTATTTTTTTCATAGATACTTGCATGTTTGGTTAATATTTAGGTAGGATAATATTTTTATTAAGTGAAACGGTGTATTTTTTTACAAAATAATTATAAAAAAGTCATTCTTATCGGTTGCTTGAGACATGCTTTTCTCAAGTCAGGCACAGATATTTTTTTAGACTCTTTTTTGCAGGTTTCCTGAAAAATGGGTAGATACAAAAAAAATGTGGGAAGAATTATAAAAGATATGACGAAGAGAAGCTTAAGCAAGCTGTAGAGGAAAGAAAGCGAGGTATCCCATTGCGAAAACTACAAAAATTATGGTATTCTAAAGGACACCATCGATCGCAGAGTGAAGAATCATTTTAATCGAAAGCCGTGAGGACAAACAATATTTTCTAAGTTAGAAAAAAGGAGGTTCGTAGATAACATTAAGGTTGCAAGAGAATGGGGATTTCCTTTGACATCAATTGATGTAAGATATTTGATAAAGTCGTATTTGGATAGGTCTTGGCGAAATGTTCCCCAGTTTAAAGAAAATCTACCAGGGAGAAAACTAATGAGAAACTTTCTCAAAAGACACCGAGACATACTTAGTGAGCAGTAGTGTGAAAATATATACAGGCAAGTGTGAAGACAAATACCATAAATAAATACTTTGATGAGTTGGAAGTAACCTTACAAGAGATAGAACCACGCTCTATGATTAACTATGACGAAACGAATATCACCGACGACCCCGAAAGGACAAAAGTCCTTGTCAAAAGAGGTTCAAAACATTCGCATCGTATAATAGACAGCTCTAAGACAAGCAATTCAGTGATGTTCGCAGGAACTGCTTCTGGTCATTTATTGTCACCTTATATTGTTAAGTCGAAACATTTATACAAAACCTGGACAGAAAATGGCTCCAATGGAGCCAGGTAAAACAGATCCAAATCAGGGTGGTTTAATGAGTCAATTTTTGAAGACTGGTTACAAACCATCGCTTAGAAGTATTTTTAAACACTGTCAACAAAATTGCCAAAGTTGTTAATAGGTGACAACCTTACCAGTCATGTTTCACCAAGACTAATTGAATTATGCTGCGAGAACAATATAAGATTTACCCTGATTCCACCTAACAGTACACACATATGTCAACCTTTAGATGTGACCTTGTTTGGGCCTTTAAAAGGGGAATGGAGAAAGACACTTCTGGACTGGAAATTTAAGAACCAAGGAGTAGTACCGAAGGACGTATTTCCAAGACTGCTAAGGCAATGTTTAGATAAGCTATCCATTGAAGACCGCGCATGACAAAATCTTATTTCAGGCTTCCGTGCTACTAGATTATGTTCAATCGACAGAAACAAAATACTGGAACATTTGCCAAAAATGCCAGATTTGTCCAATGAAGAAATTAATATAACCATTGATAACGCCTTTGAAGTATTCTTAAATAATCTTTATTCAAAAGAGACAATTACTAAAACAGTCAAAAGGAAAAGACTACAAATTGAGCCAGGAAGAAGCGTCGAAAACGCAGCTGATAATGGACAAAATTTTGAAGAAGAGCCACAAAAACTGCCAAATAACAATAATATTGAGACCGAAATAAATACCGATGAAGAATTACCCAATATACCAAACCAGCACCATCAGAAGAAAAACAAAACAAAAAAACAAAAAAGAAGCCATGAAGAAAACGTACTCAACATTCTTTTGAGGATTTATCATCAAGGATGTTGATGGCTCATTTTTCACACAATCTTTAAACGACAGTCCAGAAGATTTTAATGAAGACGTGGATAAGGTTGATCTATCAAAATTGATAGTTTATGATTTTGTTTTGGTGGAACTAAATTACGATGCACCTCATAGATCAGATACTATTAAAAAAAGTTTATGGGAAAAATTACCAATATAAAACTAGATCTACAAATTACCTGCCGTTTTATGCACAAAACTACAGGTGGAAAGAATATGTATGTATTTCATGATATTGAGGATGTCATGGAATTCCAAAAAGAACAAATTATTTCAAAACTTATTCCAGTATTTTCTCGAAGGGGAAGATATTCTTTTTCTGTTGAGATATATTTACAACACTTTAGAATGTTTAAATTTAGTTACTTACCTACCTAGTTAAAAAATTGTTTTTAGTACTTAGTATTTTTATAGGTATTCTTTTACAAAAAGTTACAATTTTTATTTTTCACGTTGGGTTTTCACTTTTTTAAATGTTAAATATAGATTTCGCAACAAAATGAGTAGTTCTATTGGTAAAAATGTAAAAAAAATGGACAAAGAAAACTTTAAATATATATTAATTTAAAGGTCTCAAGTCGACCGTACGACTGTCCGGCTTGATGATAACACCAAAAATATGCGAGTGTCTCAACTCGTCCAACCCCCGCGGGTGAATTGAGACACCCACAAAAAAAATATAAAATAAATGGCAAACTTTTAGCAAAATTGTCCAAGTCAAGACTCAAAATTTGGTGCAATTTGCGTAATTCTAGTTCTAAACTTTGAAACTGTCTCGTCACCCAATTTTACGGTACTAAGGTTATTAGCCTCGTAGTCTCTATGGGCATTGTGACTATTTCCCAGTGCCACTTTAGAAACAGAACTGTTAATTAGAACCCAACAGTGTATGGTCGAGTGGGGAATCCTACCTATGCAATAATTAATTTATTAAATTAAATAAAAATCCTGTCACCAGGAGGATTCGAACCTGAGCCCCTTCGATCTCAAAGTCATCACTCTAAACACTGAGCCAACCCACCCCTATGAACAGTAATTATTTTCCACTTTTGAGTTGATATGTTGCTTCAAATTTATCGTTCAACTACACATAACATTAATTTTAATTTTGTATGTTCTAAAAATATTGCAACCGTTGTGCAACATAAATTTGCTACTTTTTTGAATAAACTTTTCCCAGGTCTAGCGAGTTTAATATAAAATTTACAGAAATTTTAAGTTTACTTTGTGAAAAATTTGCAAAAATTTTATTAATGCCAATTTCGTCTGTTTGCCGACATTGTGGGCTGTTGTAAAATGAATAATATGCCTACCTTACGAATGAGTTCATTTATAATCAATATTTGCATATCTATTATAATTTCTTGTAAATCATAAAAAATGCATAGTGCCATTATCAGAGAGAGTTGCACATATTCACAGACATTTAATTCGATATTTAGAGAGTATATTTTGATTTTGCAATAATGCTAATATTTTGGTTGCTAAATGAGATCAAATAATGTTAAGTAACCTATTAATTACTTTTCCAAAGTCATCTGGATTCAAATTCAACTCCAGCTTAAATATTAAAAAAAAAAAAACAAAAAAAAAAAATTAAATTGGCAGCCGTTTCATTTTTAAGCAATCTATTGGTTTTTTGTCATTTTAGCAATGTTGTCGAGTTAGAAAATTGGCTATTTTCGATTCATTCGGTACTTTATCTTACCACAAAGTTTAAAAAATTAATGTAACATTTTTCAATTTGTACGTCTCTACCTACTGGCCTATCAACTGAGAAAATCGACTAACATTAGTTTTGTTCGCAAAACCGATTCCTGACTTGATTCTGACAAATTCGCATGCGTACTCATTATTTGTGAACGTTTTAAGTTAGAATAATTCAGAATGACAAAAATTTCATCGTTTGCAATCATGTTTCTGTTATATTGTCATCGTATATGTTTTGGTTTTTTTCAGAAACTAGGATTTATTTATCACACTTCAAATGTTCAAATTTAAAGTGCGCGCGCATACGAATTTGTTAACCGTACTTGAAATTAGTAATAAGACAAAAATAGAATTATGTGATGTTATTGCTTGCGAAACAATTATTCCAAAAAATAAAATAGCCAATATCCAACATTAAACATCAAGAATGTGACAGGAAAAACTATCCTGGAATATTTGTCTATGACGTTGACGTCTTTTATTTTTGGCAGAGATGATTTCAGAACTAATGCTCCTTTTCTAATGGCATGGAACATTTTAGGCTTGTGGACTGGATTTCCTATAAAAAATAAACACATTAGATTATATAAATGTATGTACCAGAAATGTATGTATCAGAAATGTATGTACCAGAAATGTATGTACCAGAAATGTATGTACCAGAAGTGTATGTACCAGAAATGTATGTACCAGAAATGTATGTACCAGAAATGTATGTACCAGAAATGTATGTACCAGAAATGTATGTACCAGAAATGTATGTATCAGAAATGTATGTACCAGAAATGTATGTACCAGAAATGTATGTATCAGAAATGTATATATCAGAAATGGATGTACCAGAAATGTATGTACCAGAAATGTATGTAGCAGAATAGTTTGTGTAATAAGAGTCGTCTGAGTGCCACATGGACAATCCACTCGAGTTGTAAGTAATTATTTTCTATGGCTCACTTAATTTTTTTTAGAAATTGTTGTAAATGGTAAAATACCGTAGGAGAGGGTGGGTCACATTGAGATAATTTTTTTAAATTTTTAGACCGAAGTGGTAATTTTAATTTTTTTGGTACAATTAAAAAAAATCTGATTTTGTCACAAAGTTTGAGAAAAGACATAGGTAAAAACCAAACAACGTTTATTTAATAATATTACGCAACTATGTGGAAAAAAACTACCAAATAAAAATATATATGAGGTTCTACTAACGGATATCTGTATCTGTAAGGTGTGGAGCGTGGGTTACCCCCCACGGCACTTAGGCCTCACTAGGAACATTGTGCATCCTCCTAAGATGATGAACACCTCCTGGCTCGTGTGCCAGCCTACAGATTTAATGTAGTTGAGAACGTCGCCAAGAGATGCTTTCCTTATATCGGCCGGTGTTAGCCGATACTCGCTGAACATAAATATTCTAATAAATGAGAGCATCGAGCAATAGTAAAGGATATGCTTGATGGTCTCATCTTCTTATTCGCATCCTTTGCAAAGTTTTCTCAGATGATGGACATTTTATTTCCACCACGCAATCCTCTAAAATACCATCTGGTGATGCACCTAGTTCAGAATATTTTCCGTTGAGAATTAAACCAACATCTTGAATTTTTTTCTGCAACTTTTTTTCCAATTTTTTTTTGACAGCTGCTTCAAGAACTTTGCCCCGCTTTATACTTTTTGTCTCAGTTAATTTTTGAGCACCAAGAATACTATTTATAAAAGTTCCATCTTCTTTGTGGCAATGAATGGCATCATAAATTTTTGAAGCTGTAATCCGCCCATAACGCAGTTCATGCCATTCATGGCTAGCACTTTGATCTTTTGTGTCGTCAACAATTGTAGAACAAAGCTCATCCGTCATCGTGTTTTCAGCAAAACTTAAAAAATGTACATATGTTTTACCACCACACTTTTGAAATTCACTTAACAGTTTATGTAGCCCCAAATGTGTTCTATCGTGATCAGGAGAGAAGCTTTTGTAGTATTTCACCAATTGATTATTTGAATGTACCTCTTTCCCTTTAGAAACAACAGCATCTAAGAAGCCAGCATAAACCTTGGAATCAAAATTAGGTGTTACACCAAAATTGTGTTTTAATAATGGTTGATTTTGCTGCAGATAAAATTGGTTTTTAGCATTCTATGGATGTTGGTGATGGCTGTGTACTTTTTTTGTGAACCCACATTAGAAATGCAAGGGCATGTTTGCAACCTCCCTCTGCTGCACTACAGTCGAAGCACTTAACTGTGTCAACAACTTCTTGCTCTTCATCCACAATCATGATGATTTTATAATTTTTTGTTCTTATGCGATGTTCGAGACATATTTCACTTGTCACTGTGCATATATTTCCTTCACGTTTTAACTGTACATAGCCCACTGCACTTTCGATATAACTCCCTCTCATTGACCTAAAAGTAAAATAACTTATATTTAACTAATTAGTAAAAATATGATATTGTTGAAAAAGCAACTCATACATAACTTAATATTGTAAATTACATTAGACAATAAATAAAGCACTTTTGATTATTTCAATAAAGCTTTTTCTGACATGTTCCTATTTAGGTTCATCTTTTATGACAAACTGAAGTCTTGAGGTCGAATTACTGATAAAAACAATATTCAATGTATAAATTAACTTTGCCCCAGTAGGTATGTACTCACCATTCTGCCTTTACTCCTCTTATTTCGTTTTGGTTAAAACAATCATTGGATTTTATGAACTCCATTAACATAAAACTGTCTACTACTGGTAAATTGTCACTTTGTGCTTGTACAAAAGCCATAGTAATTAACAAAAAAACACAAATATTGTTCCCTAAATACAATATTCTACAATACAAATTTAATTTCAACACAACAAAACAATCAAAAACAACAACAGGTTAGGTTTTATAAAACGTCAATTCTCAGATGTAAACAAAACTAATGACAATAGAGCATAATTACGTCACAGCCGATTCGGAAATATTCGGGTAGTGGTCGGATTATTCAAATTTAATTGATTTTTTAATTACTAAATTATAAATAAATAATGAGTTTTAAATATCCTGTTGAATTAGAGGGCCATATATTAACATAATTTATCTTATAAGACAGTAATTAGAGGATTATCTCACTGTCGCGTGTAGCTGATTGATTCCTAATTAATAAACATTGACTGTGTATTAATTCCACGAAAGAAGACCTCTATTAGAGCGTGTATAAACTAAGTGCCGACTAGGCCCTGTTAGTTTTATAAAATAAAAGTTGAGAATAAACTGCCGGGGTATATTACCCTCCATTTCATTGTATCTTGTTTTATGCTTGTTGTGAAAGACATTTTTTATTCTATATTCATTTCATTTTTGTTTATAACCAGGAAATGGGAAATATTCTATGAGACATGGAATTCTTGTTTGTTTTAACGAACCGAACCCTTCTTTCTATTTTAATTCAATAAAACATTTGTTCTTTCTACAGTGGTTATTTATTGAAACTAATTACATAACTTTATATGGCTTATGGAAGATATATCTTGGTGAGATGGAGTCCATGTTCGCTTGAAGCAGTGGGAGCATATCGAGCCCCTCCTGCCTAAAGCGATGTATCGCCTCACCAGATCCTACATCAGGTTCTATTCCAACTGTGCGGAGGCGTGTCATTACTAACTGATATTGATGCCACCAAAATTAACATCAACATTTATGAAAGACTGTTGCCGTTTCGTGCTGCCCACTCTACTATTTGCTGGTAGCAAACATTTAATGTCAGTTTTCCCTAGATAAGAAATGAGTTTTTTGTTCGACACTATGCCTCAAAAACTTTAAAATCATGCTTACTTTTATCTATAATTTTATCAACAAAGAAAACAACATAATTTTTGTCATGAAATTCAATTAAAACGCAGTAGTTTCCCATAAACTTATTTTCTATTTCCAACTTCTCAGGTGTATCAGTTGAGATGGGTTATACTAAAGACATTTGGTGGTTTAACCTAACCTACATTTAAAACATTTTTTAAAAAATACTTATTACACATGACTTTTTTAACTCGTTCTGTTAAACTTTTTGTAGCGCTTCCTTTATGGAATTAGTCAAGGTGAGTCAAGGTTATTGTTTAACTTTCTTTTGTGTTTTTTCTGTTATTTTGTATATGTTTAAGTCCGTTCATGCTTTTATAATTGTTTTTTATTACAACTGACTCCTTGATATTCCATTTAGGTGTGCCTGATGATGAAGTGACAACTTCGAAACCGGTCGCCAATAAATTGACTTTGTGAGAAATAAAGGACTTTTTCTTTAACCTTTACACTTAACTTTTACAACTCTTTCTCGGTTTTTCTCGGCTGTGCTTTTGGGTACCCAAATAGTTGTTCTGTTGTTTTAAAAATAGTAGTTGCTGAAATATTTTTTTAGTTCATGGTCTGCACTGCTCGCATGCACTTCTAAAACTCCATTGCTCGCATGTGCTTTTAAAACTCCAAAGTCTGAATTGCTTGCATGTGCTTCAACAGTTATTTCTGCTTGGCTTTCTTCTAAAGGCTCCTCTCTGATGGTAACGCTACTCATTAAAATATAATTATCTTCAAAATCATGCAATGGCACAATTCTACATTTTCTGGAACCTGCTTTAATGTTATTAGGCGTCATGGAGTTGTCAAACGCATATCCAACGCATTTGGCAATCTGGAAAATTGTAACTGGAATTCCAGGATTTGTCATCATCCAGGAATCTAATGCACTGTTATAATAAGGTTTAAATGGTTCAAACACTAATACATCCAACGGTTGTAATTTGTTAGAACAATGGGGATGCAGTGTTAAAATAACAAACCCGATTCTCTTTGGCTAGGCTTAGGGTTTCAACTGAAAAATGACTTTTATGATTATCAAGCACTAATAAAGTTGGATTTGACTTTTAACTGCTGGAATGAAAAACGAAATATTTAATAACAGATACAAAAAGCTCAAAATTCATCCAACCCGATGGATAAGCTAGGCCTAAATTTCCCTACAAAGGTCCGTGTAACCTACTAGGCTTGAAGTTGACCCCCAGAAAAATCAATGCTGTTGGCAAAGTATTTTCTAGAAGGAACATAGCTACGCTTAGGAAAAATGATTAATTTATTAAAATAAAACTACTCACCTGCTGAGCTAATAATGCAGCATGTTGTAACCAACATTCCTAGTTCCCGGTGGTCACCTTGTTTATTTGCTTAACCCTCTTTTCCTAAAATCTTTGTGAATTTTTGGACAGTGGCTGCCGCCGTCTCGTCCAAATTATGAATACAATGTTTCAGCTGCAAATCCATTGTAGCGATTCATGATATCTTCTACATTGTGAAATAACTGCTCGACGTTATTGCGGTTAAAGGAAGTAGCTCTAGAAAGGCTGTCGCCTTCAGATGAAATGCACAATTCTAGATGCCGTTTGAGACACCCCTGTAACCAATCCTGGAGTGCAGATTGCTTCTCTATCCATTTCTTTGGGATTTAAATTTTATTATGGACGGCAAGTTCAGACGCTAGCCATCTCACATCTTTTGTCGATCTGCCGCAGCATACTTCGCTACACTTAATGAAATCCTTTAGTTTCTTGTTCGTTGGAAAACGCTCTCTGGGTATTGTAACGAGGGCAGTAGGATAACTTTTCATAATTAATTTTACTATTTTGTATTTTCCTAACATATTTCGCCAATGTTTGATGTTTATCTGCTGCCTTCCTTAAGCACAATTTATGTTTACTAACATCTTCGATAACCTTTTTTATTGATTCGGCACGAAATATGCACACAAAATATATTTGTTTTCAACTTAAATCGTTGCATAAGGGCCACCATGGTAGGTCTGAGTTACAAACGGCAATATTGTAGTAAAACGTGAAACAATCAACTGATAATATACAAAAATAATAAATGATTTCATTGGAAGACATATGGCAGTTGCAAGGTCATTGCAAGAGTTTTCGACATGTCAGTTTACATAGCAAATAATAGAAACAGCAATAGGAAACTGTAAAGTATCTTTTCGGCAATCTGTTTAAGGTTAAGGCATCAGTATAAACTACTTCTTTTTTCATTTTCTTCTTTAGCTGTATAGGCTCAGTTTTTCACTAGCACTATCAGAGGGCTACCTGGTTTGTACAGAAGTACGTGTTAGGCTTCGAGCATATGTGTTAGGTCCACATACTTTGATTTTCTTTTACTATACGGAGAATGGTCGCACTGCGCAGCTTTCTGAGTGCCTTTTAAAAGGAGATAGAAAACTCCGCCATTTTGAACCCTTATTACGTGTTGCCTACATCTTGGCGCAATATTTTTAATAGGTGCGTTTTAATCATCCACTTCTGCTTAGGAATTGTCGGTTTTCTTGTTTTAATCTGACAGGTTAAAACGACTAAACCGACAATTCCGGAAGCAGAAGCGGATGATAAAACGCACCTGATATTTTGCTTGCTGCTGTCAGTGTCAGTGAATATTATTTTTGAAGTCACAGTTTATTGTTAAAGAATCAGTTAGCTCACTCGGACCAGTTGAAAGTTTCAAAATAACATCCACTCCAGGGATACAAATTCAGGATACGCAGAAGACTGCTGTTTTATTATAGGCGGTTGTCATATATTGTATTATCCGAGTTGCACAGTGTATAAACTGAAACATTTAGATCAAAAGTGCCGACGCAGAGTGAGCGATCTGATTCTTCAGCTGTAAACTGTGTCACAGGGTTCAAAATGGCCGCGCCCTATGTGGGGCGTGTCGGACCTCTCTCTTGCCTCGTATAATAATCAAAGTATGTGGTTAGGCCTCATACGGCTGATTTTTGTAAAATAAAATCTTTTTTTAACAAAACACTAGCACTGGGTAGATAGTGAAAAATTAAACCTATACATCTGTAGAAGAAGACGAAAAAAAGATGAAATTTATGCTGATGCTGTAACCTTAGAGAGATTGCCGAAACGACATTTTTACAGCTTCCTTTGAAATAAGTTCTGCTTCTATTACTTGACCTTGCAACTGCAATATGTCTTCCGATGAAATCTTCTATTACTTGTCTTATTGAAAACCTCCGACTAATATAAAAATATATTGGAAACCACTTATGAGGTACTGAACTCATAGAAACAAGGAATTTCACTATAACGAAAACAAATCGAGACCGGTAAAAATTCTTGAAGGCACGTGCAGCTTCTCCAACAACAATAATAAGATTAATGTGTTTGCGACTTGATGTTTATGTGATTTGACAACAATTTGCGCGCGTTATTTAAAAATAATGGCGACTGTTTCATGGTAAGCGCATCTCATTGTGTCCCACCCTCTCCTATATTCTCTTATATTCCGGTTTGTTGTAGAAAACATGACTTATAGATTACTGACATTATTATTTTATAAAAAAATATTGTACAATTTAATTAATTACAGGTTAGTTCGAAAATACGTAAAATGTTTTTATTATAAATAATTTTTTATGAGAGCTTTAAAAAACTAACAATTTTCCAAATATATTTTAAGTAATTATTCTTGGAGATACATCATGTCTTATACAAGGTGACATAAATGTGGTTACAGAGGGCATATATTATTTTACAGCTTTAACGTGCCACCCTGTATAAATTTAAAATTTTCTTCGTCAACTTTAAAAATGTGTACCCAAAGTTACTAGTTAAATGATTAATATTTATTTTGCTTATCAAACTAGAACTAACTTGCCTTTATTTCCTCTATATCTAACTCCAGATGGGGATCTGTAGTTATAAGGGCTCTGTGTCCTCAAAATACGGAAACTGGGAGGGTACTTGGATGGATCCACGTCATAAGTATACCCTGAATTATATCTATTTCTTATTGAAGCTATCGGACTCATTTTCACGTCTTTAAGTTCTATGATATCTTGATTGCCTATACTTGACTGGGCAGTAGCCACTTTGGTCCCTGAAATAATATGCAAAGTTAGTTGAGAAAACAAAAATTATATTTTAAATATGGGAAACATTTTGGATTAACATTTGGTTTAGTAGTCATATTTTAAATACAGGTGCTCCATATTTCAATATTAATAAGCCATAGACAGATGTAAAACTAACGACGAAAAAATTATTAGATTAATCCATTCATTTATAATTAATCCTTTTTATTGCAAGTATTCAGATTGTGTTTTATGTTAGGCACCCCAACAGTATATTAATTCGATAAGATTATTCCACTAATTTTCAACTGACATAAACAGAGCTGTCACATCGGCTGACGCATTAGAAAGAGCAACACGCCTGCTAAGTTAAGTGGGGATAGTTTGTGCGAGTTCGGTTATATGAGGTGCGAGCACACGTATTATAAATGAACCAGTGTGTACAACTATGATTCTTGCTTTACACCGTTTCCACACTAAAATAAATAGTGTACTTTCCTGTAATCACCTTCAGCTACAATAATACTTGCAACCAAATAAAGACATTAAACTAATGACAACTGACATTAAGAATGAAAATATACTTTTTTAATGTAATTTTGAAAGCCTTATGTTAAGTCAGTTCCGAATTATGATCACCAACAAGCCTTGTAACAAGACTCATCCATATTATCTCATAATAATTTGGCAACTACGTGGATAATACCGTAAGTATTCGATTTTTATAAACAAATGTAATCTACTATTTGTTTGTTGTTGGATAAAACCTACGTAAACAGTGGCGTAGAGTGGGCTAAATGGCGGAGAAGGCGAAGGTTCTCTGGGCGTCCAAACCTCTGGTGCTCTAACCGCAAAAGGCATCGCCCCTTCTGCCCCCTATATTCTACGCTACTCTACCTAAACGATTCCTAATTAACCCTAAAGTCAACTTCAGACTCATTACGCAAAAGCCCGCGAAGAGATTCATAGTGAAACATAATACCTATTTTACAATGATAATACATTTTACAAGGATTCCAAAATTTTGTCGCCAACATTTCTTGTGTACTTTAAAAACAATATTATTACTCAGATTAGATGCTTCGTTTCCAAACTCTTTTTTATATGATATGTTACTATACAACTGTTAGAGTGTGTTTAGTGGCTAGAATTAAATACGTTTACCAAATATTTGGGTGGGGCGTTTTACACCACTTCTGATTACAATACGCCCCAGTCAATAATAAGTTTAATCATTAAATTTTCTTTTAGAATATGGACAGAGTATGTGTTAGAAAAACAACAAGAGCTGCGTGGAGCGAAGCTGCAATTACCACTGCTATAGAAAAAGTCAGAAGTGGACAAATGGGTGTGAATTCAACTAGTAGGGAATATGATATACCTTCAAGAACTTTAAGAAGACACATTGCTATTAACAGCTCTAAAAAATATCTTGGCCGATGTCCAGCCCTTGGTAAAAAACATGAAAGAAGACTAGTCTTACATATTCAAGCTCTTGAAAAAGTAGGGTTTGCTCCCAATAGAAGCGACGCCGACGTGAAAACGTTGGCGTTCAAGGTTTCAAAAATACTAGGCATTAATCACTGTTTTTCCACAAATGAGAAGTCTGCAGGCAAAATTTGGTTAGACGGATTTATGAAGAGAAATGAGGTTCTATCTGTTAGAAAGTCTGAAGGACTATCACCGGCCCAAGCGCAAGGAATAAATAGAAAAAAAGTCGGTAATTATTTCGAGCTGTTATTGATAATGTTTTGTTAGACAGGCCGTCTAAAATATTTATTATGGACGAAACTGGAATCCAAGTGAATAACAAAGCCGAGCGAGTCATTGTAACAAAATGCACGAAAGATATCTACTCTTTGACAAGCACGGAAAGGGGTGAAAATATTTCATTAATATCATGTTGCAATGCCGAAGGCACTTTTTTCCACCAATGCCGATAATGAAAGGTTAATACAAAAACCGGATTTTGTAGATGGACCCCCTCCTGGCTACGTTTACATGAACCAGAAAACTGCGTACATTAACAGCAATTTGTTTATAAAGTGGTTTCGGGAATACTTCATTCTAAGAAAAGGTACCGGCAAATGTTTGCTTATATTGGACGGTCATGCATCGCATTGTAATGCGATAAAACTTTTAAACTTGGCAACAAAGAACGATATTAAACTTTTGTGTCTTCCAAGTCATACAACACAGGCATTACAGCCTCTGAATAAGTCATTCTTTAAGCCTTTAAAAAGTTTTTTTATGCAGGAAACGAGAACATGCATGATTAACCATAAAGAAAGAAAGCTTAAGACATACAATATTTCTGGACTGATAGGAAGGACGTGGATCAGAGCAGCGTATGTTAGTAATGCAGTATCAGGTTTTAAAGCAACTGGCATTTACCCATATGACCGACCCATCAATCACTCCCGAACATTTCTTTGCCATCTCTGAAGCAGCAGCGAGTTAATACCGTAACACCAAATCAAAAGGCTACTCTTAAAAACTGTCATCATCGGAGAGCCTGTCCCAGAAAATGGTATGGAAGTTGAAGTCTAAGCAGGTGCAGCAGTCGAAGAAGAAGAAACTCCATCCAAACTTCTAAAAGAAATAATTTCTGTGCCAACGATACCAGTCAATATCTCCAAGAGAATGCAGTCTGCTATAATTCTATCATTACCTGAGAATAAAGTAAAATGCCAGATTTTAACTGAAAAAAGCTACTGTCGGCAAAATGTTGGAAAAAGATTCTAATGCAGCTGGTTCATCTGGTATAAAACCTAAAAGGCAAATTGTCAAAAGTAAGAAAATGTCTTATGTCTCTTCTTCAGACGATTTATCTGTAGATATACAGTGCCCGTCGTCAGATGAGATTTTTGATATTGATGACACAGACTGTGTTGAGTGTGGAGAACACTATTATTCCACCAAATAAAAAGATGATTGAATTCAGTGTATCATTTGTGACAGATGGCTGCATGAAAGCTGTACAATGTACCCAAATATGTGCTACAGTTGTGGGCGTCAGAAAAAACGTGCAGAAAATAATAAAAAAAACGTGTCTGTGCCTATTTTAATTATTTTTTTGCCGGGGCATATTCTCACCCTTGTGGTGGGTAATACGCCTAATTCTATTTTTTTAATTTCACTTACCACCTGTGAAGTGGTTTAAGATTTAATACTGCTTGAGTTTTGGATATGCAAGTGCTTCAGTTATTTGGTTTTGACTGATTTTCATAATAAATGCTTTGAATTTTGAGTAATTGATTTTTCTGAAATATGGGGCGTATTATACCACTTTGCCCTATTTGACTTTTTAGAAAAATTATCAGGGTGGGGAAACACATAGGAATAAAAGATCTGGTAATGTCTCTAAATACGGTGGCAGTGATAAGAAAAGGAACAATACAAAATAAAGTGGTAGAATTAGAATTCAAAGACGTAAGAGGACTTAGATAGCTACTAGTAAGCAAAATAAAAAGAGTGTAGTTCTAAAAAAGAAAGATACAGGTTTATGAAAACTTGTAAGGAGGAAATAAAAAAATCTTATAGAACTGCCAGGTCTAGTAAATTTAAAAGTTAAATATTAAATGTACGGAAGCTGCAGTACAAACTGTTTTGGTGTTTTCTAATGAAGAGATTTTGTCAATAAGGAAGTAAAAGAAGTACCAGGAAAGACAAAGATATAAAACTATGGAATTTCTGTAAATGCTTGGAAAATTGAAGGAGAAAAAGGCATTATTCACTTGTTTAATACTGTTTTCAAAAAATGAAGTGTACAGCAATGAATAGAGGTAATTAATCAACGGTGTCGATGAATGTGTTAATTGAAAGGTGTATAGGAATGGAATCAAATAAATCAGATTATTGAATTCATGTCACGAAAGCCAACATATAATTTTTAACTTTTTGTTATTGGGGAAACAAAGGTATCAGACCCAAAAGTCGCGCTCATTGGGGGTGACTCAAACCCAATAAGTATGAGGTACATTTTTACTTCCTATCTGTATACAGATATAAGGAAAGTATAGGAATCATGATTTTTTTCGACCTCGAGTTTTCGACGGATTTTTACGTTTTGAGGTCCCCTGAATCCGTTTTGACTATTTTCGCGATGATTTTCGCGATGATTTTCGCGCGCGCGCGTGTGTGTGTGTGTGTGTGTGTGTGTGTGTGTGTGTGTGTGTGTGTGTGTGTGTTTGTGTGTGTGTGTGTGTGTGTGTGTGTGTGTGTGTGTGTGTGTGTGTGTGTGTGTGTGTGTGTGTGTGTGTGTGTGTGTGTGTGTGTCGCATAACTCATGAACCGATACACACAAAAACACCAAATTTTAAACTTAAGCTTTATTTCAGCGTCTAATGAACTGATTAGATTTTGGTCAGAGTCGGAATATCTGGGGGGATACTTTATAGGTGGTCATTTTTATATTTTATGGAATATATCTGTTATTTACGTTTGGAGAAGAAAATTCTTTAAATAAAAGTTACTTCCTATATAATTGTCTATAATTTTTGTTCTATACAAAATTTTCCTAAAATGGTCCGTATTCGAGAAATTTGAAAAATGTAAAAAAAATTTTTTTTATAAAAATTGTTCAAATAAAAGTTGTTTGTAATATAATTGTCTATAATTTTTATTCTATACATAATTTCTCTAAAATGGACCGTATTCAAGATATTTGAGAAAATGTGTAAATTTCGAATTTTGAAGAAAACTCAAAAACGGATAAAGAAAAAAACAAATTTTAAACTTAAGGTTTATTTCGGCCTGACGTGAAATGATTAGATTTTGGACAAAGTCGGAACATCTGGGGGGGGGGGGTACTTTATGGGAGGCCGTTTTTATATTTTATGGAATATATCTGTTATTTATGTTTGGAGAAGAAAATTGTTCAAATAAAAGTTACTTCCAATATTATTATCTATAATTTTTGTTTTATGTCAAAATTTCCTGAAATGGTCCGTATTCGAGAAATTTGACAAAATGTGCAAAATTCTGTTTTTTATGAAAATTGTTGAACTAAAAGTTGTTTGCGATATCGATCTCTATAATTTTTGTTTATACATGATTTTTCTAAAATGGACCGTAATGAAAAAGTGCTAAATTTAAATTTTTCAGTATTTTCGTTTTCAATGAATAATGTTTCGAGGTAGATGTATATGGACAATGTATATATTTAGTTTATCCTCTAAACATTTATAGAGATGCTGCAATAGGTTGTACAAAATAACCGGAAAAAGCCTACAATAACTAGATAGGAAAGTCATGTGTTGGACACATCAGATTTTTAATAGAACAATAATCTCAGAGAAACATACCTGCATGCGCTCCGATTGCTTAATCAGCCGTAAACGTAAAACATTTTGGGAGGCGGCATTAGATTTCCAACGATATGTTTCGAGTTGTTGTATTTTAGAAAATAAAGGAATTATAGGAAATGAAGGCGTTATGTTACGTTGTGTAATTCTAAAGACGTGAAGGCACCTAAACCTTGCTGGCGCCGGGTATCTATTGCTGCAGATGCCACGGTAGCTATGCCACACTATATTTGATCTGTCCCTAATAAACAATCAATAGAAGGATAGTTACAAAAAGGAGGTAAACGACTTTATAAATTTATTAATATATAAAATGCATAAAATATCAATTTTATTATAACCGACATGCAAAGATCAAAAAGGACGAAATTCAACCTTGTAACTAGGAATTTCAAGATGAAAGCCGGAATTTGCAGAGTTTAAAACAAAAATGTACCCAGATCCTTCAGGGACCTTTACCGGAACATTTGTAATGCATATTTTGGTGAATTTTAGATGAGCATCGTCTACACTTTCTGAAGTTCATGGTAATTTGTTTTTATTAATAAATAAATTTTAATTAAGTTATCACACTTTTATATAATAATTTTAAAAACTACAGGGTGATCCATTACATTTTTTATTTTCGTTTAATAATTAGTGGTAGCAAAATTTGATATTGATACAAGTTCAGGTTTAGCAATAAGATTCTTTTCACAAAAAAGTAGTAACGACTTCCATTTTGAAAATTTTCTTAATTGCGGAGTTGCCAATTTCTTGTTATAGGAATGTCGACTGTTACGATATTAACGTGCGCTAACTTGCTCATTATTCGTTGCCGTACGGTGTTGTCAAGTTTATCAGTCTTTCCAGAGCGTAGGTAGCATATAACAAACCTTATAATTTGGCATTTATTTGTTTGTTAGGTTGCCAAATTTATAAATAAATAAGGCTATTCAATGTGTTCTCAAAATAACAAAGTTTCTATTCGCCTAGTTTACGTGAATGTCGCATATAGCCGGCGTTCGTTTTTAAAAGATTAAGGTCAATAATTTACTAATATTAAACCAGTTACATTGACATTGTGGGTTATACTTACCACTAAAATTGTTTCAATTTGAAATATTTAGGAAGGGAAGGTGGTTTCTTGAATAGTAAAAGATACTTTATGTTTCTTTACCTATTTTACAATCTTCGGTGGTGTCTTTATGCTTCTTGATCTTCTTTTTCGCCCGCGCCCCCCAGTAAGTATAGTTTACGGCTGCGTATTCAAGCAGTGCAGCAAAAACAAACACGAAGCACATCACTAGATAGATGTCTATAGCTTTAACATAGCTGATTCTAGGTAGGGAACTACGAACACCAGTGCTGATTGTTGTCATGGTTAATACGGTAGTGATACCTAAAAAAATTTTCAAGTTTAAATAACACAAAGCAATAGATCGTGATAGTTATGAAGTTCAAACAAAGTTGGTACCTAATAAGGAATTTGTCCAAATTTAAAATACTACCCAGTTCCCTTTGCGTTTTTTAAATATGAATTCTAAATGCCAAATCTCAAGACTTTATTACCTTCAATTTTGATATACAGTGAGAATAGTGAGTAATTGTTCAATATTTCAATTTGTGTTATAGACACGCCAACAAGTTTTAAATAAAAGTTATATGGATTTTAAACATACTTTTGGATATACAGGATATTGCGTTTTTGCCTGGAAAATAAAAATGCATATTTTTTAAATGGAACACTTTGTAATTTATTTAATTTATAGAATGGTTTGGTAATATTGAATTCAACCCTAGAATTGTTTTAAAAAACATTACCGGTTTGCCAAGCAATTAATTTTTTTATGAAATGAATAGTGGTGATAGCACTGGTTTATTTTATACAGAGTGATTTGAAACATGTCTTAAATATGGTTAAATTTAAGCTCAATTTACTAATTTTTTTAAAAGCAACACCCTGTATGTTATTTTAGCATTAAATTCCTTATAACTTTGCCTATCCAATGATACCAACATGTTAGTCAATAAAATACAGGGTGTCCCATCAGTGCGTAATTGATCGATAGCTGTTTTATTATTGGATATACGAAAAAAATTTAATATAAAAGTTGTATGATCAGATTTAACAATTATTCTTAAATATACAGGGTGTTCTATAAACGAGGTGCTGACCAAACCTATACTTTCTTAATTGACTTCATTAATTTGCTATGTTTCAAACATGTGTCAAATCACGAGGTTTCGATTTTTTAAATGGAATACCTTGTATTAATTAATTGGTGGTATAACATAAAAGGTATTCCATTTAAAAAATTGAGAAAGTCGTAACCTCGCATTTTGACACACCATAGCATAGCATAGCAAATGCATGAAGTCTTTTAAAATTGTTTGATGATGTGAAAACAATCAAATATGTATAAGGGGGTGTTTTGCTTTAAAAATGTAAAGGTTTGGTCAATCAAAGAAAAAAATAGAATATATAAAATTTTAAAAAATAATTATAAGGAACAAAATAAAATACTTTTCAAAAACTATAGAAATCAACTAAATCTTTGCATTAAAGAAATGTCAAATAACCAAAAGAAAAATGAACCAATTTCTCAAATAAAAACAATACACGGTGATATTTCTGATAACAAAACAAGAATAGCGGATATTTTTTGTGATCACTACACTACAATTGGGAAAAGATTGTCAAAAGAAATTCCGATATAAAGTAAAAAAATAAATAAAAAACAACTGAACAAAACATTTTATCTATATAACACAAATGTCAATGAAAGCATCCTTACCATAATCACATTAAAACATAACAAAAAACCTGGTACTGATAATATTACTTTGAAAATTTTAAAAGAATTATGTCATGTAATATTTCCTGGTATTGATTTCCTAATCAATTAATCAATAAGTGAAGGCAAGTTTTCTGATTGTCTTAAGAGCAATCCAGTCCCTTCTAACGTCACACCGCACGGATCTAACGACCTCCCCTTAAAGTATTTGGAACCTTGTTCGCTACATAAATTTGGCAATAGTGTGTCGTGCGCTGAAGAATAATCATAGGATTCGGTAGGGTCCGATTACAATAATTATATGAACACAGGTATGTCATCAATTGGCGAAGTAATTCGTTGGCTATCGCCGCCTACTGGGGGTTTAGTGGCTTGTTAATATTATAGGAATGTAGCAATACTATTTTTAAACCAAACAACTCAAATATTTTTTATTTATTGATAGTTATAGATGATATACAGGGTGTCCCGAAATTAGACGGTCATATTTTAACAGCGTAATCTACATCCTAAAATAGTAGTAAAACAAAGGTCCGAAAACGTTTCTCTTCCGAGATACAGGGTGTTAAAGGTGAAGTCCTGATACCACACTTTTGTAAATATTTTCTAAACGTTTAAAGATAATTAGGTAAAATTTGGTACAAATACTTACCTTTTTACGCTCCATTTATTGGACTAAGCCCCAGTTTTTGATCATCTTCTTAGGTGGGTAAATTAGGGGGAGCTTAGGGTAAAATTGCTCTGTTTTTTTTTTGTTGATAGTTTTTAACATTTTTGACTATAAAATTTGGAAAACCAATATTTTCTTTATAATAAAGCTACATTTGTTGCATCTCGCTAGGACGCGCCATTTTCAAGAGAAAAGCATGTTACCTAATTCGAAAGTGTAAACAATAATTAGTAGGTGTGTAGAATCAGATTTTTTTTTAACTTTGGAAAACCGGTAACTAAAGAAATTTTAGAAAATATTTACAAAAATGTGCCATTTGGACTTCACTTGTAACACCCTGTATCTCGAAAACGAAACGTTTTCGGACCTATGTTTATATAAACTTTTACTCCTATGTATAACCGACTTCAAAAAAGAAGGAGGTTCTCAATTCGTCGCAATATTTTTTTTTTATTTATGTATGTTCAGCGATAATTCTTTAACACGGTGTCCGATTTCAATGATTCTTTTTTTGTTAGAAAGGGGGTACCTCAAGGGTGGTCCCATATAAATTTGATTAAGATGTGGTGATGGCATCTGCACGTTTTTGAATTCGGTTTTGTTAAATTTTTAATTTCTAATACTTTTTTAATGTCTGTATAAAAATTTTTTTTTTCACATAGATTATTAAATTAAAAAAATAACTATTAAAACACAAAATGTTAATTATTTCTCTTTTACAACACAAAATATACAATACTGTTGAATCAAAATTTTCTCTTTGCAAAATAAATTATGTAATAATATCTAGAATATGCATATATTTTAATGTTTTAATTCCTTCCAGTTTCCGAAGAAAACTAAAAGGGCTTTAATTTTGAAATATCATAATGAAAATAAATGCATTCCTCGACAGCACTATTCTTAATATAATCCACACTTCTTAAAATTCGCCAAAATTAGTGGCTAAAACGCTTCGTTAAGTGCTATCTTCTGGTGTAAACTGGTGTAAATTGTTGCAAGAAACGAATAATGACAGAGTGTACGATACTATAGTTACAAGCGCGTTACACCAGAAGGCAGCACTTGACGAGACGTTTTAGCCACTAATTTTGGCGAATTTAAAAAATCATTACCAAGACATTAAGAGTTTAAATTTCGGGATTATATTAAGAATAGTGCTGTTGAGGAATGCATTTATTTTCATTATCATATTTGATTTTTTTTTATCGGAAACTGAAAGGAATTAAAACTTTAAAATATAGGCATATTTAGTTAATATTACCTAATTTATTTTGCCAAAATTTTAATTTTTTAACAAAATTACTGCTGCATTCACCTTAATATACCAACATACAGGGTGTTTCAAAATTCATGGGACAAATTCCAGGAGGTGATTGCTCGTATGAAATTAAGATGGGTATTTCCTATAACAAAATTTCCTTAGCCCACCCCATTCCCAGATATCACCCTTAAGAGGTGGTGACTAAAATTGAGTTTCTATTTTTTTTTCTAAAATGTCAGTAAAGCTAGAAACTTGAAATTCTGTAATTTTCGTGCACTCACAAAGGACTAACTATTGTTATTTTTTCAATATTCCTGTTACATTATAGGGGGTGAAATTAGCAACTCTTACTTTATTTCATGTCAAAACTTTTTTTCGAGATGAAGTTTTATGAAATAATTTTGTAACTTGAAATACTTGTTTTATTTAAAAAAAATTTCCCAAAACCAATAGCTTCATAGAAAAAAATACTGTTTTCTACTCAATTTATTTAAAAAAATGATAAATTAGGGTGTTAATTTTTTTCTCTGAAGCTATTGGTTATGGGAAAAAAATTCAAGAATAAAAAAATTTAAATAAAACAAGGATTTCAAGTTATAATTTTATTTCATAAAAGTTCATCTCGAAAAAAAGTTTTGATATGAAATAAAGTAAGTGTTGCTAATTTCACCCCCCTATAATGTAACAGGAATATTGAAAAAATACCCGTGGTTAGTCCTTTGCGAGTGCACGAAAATTACAGAATTTCAAGTTTCTAGCTTTACTGAAATTTTAGAAAAAAAAAAATAAAAACTCAATTTTTGTCACCACCTTTTAAGGGTGATATCTCGAAAAGGGGTGGGCTGAGGAAATTTTGTTATAAGAAAAACCCATCTTAATTTCATTCGAGCAATCACCTCCTGAATTTTGTCGCCTGTATTTAGAAATACCCTGTATATTACACATTTTTTTAAGCAGGGAAAATTCTTGACAATCTCTTTTCTCTAATTGGCACATGTCGTATTTCTCTAGGATCTACTAACTCTGGCAGCAAACAATTAAAATAGAAATTTGTCAGCTGTGACTTCCAGAATTTTTCATTTCATAAATTAACTAAAAACTAAATTGAACAAAAACCTAACAACGCCTCAACAACAAACTAAGACGATCACAATAATTTCGCACCTCTTCAAAAACAACTATTTTTCGACACAGGAATTAACAAATTTAACTAAACAGCAGCTACCCTTTTAACCACGGGCTTCATAGACCAGCAGCGTTGCCATATTCACTGGTATCATTGTTTTAATAGAATTAGTATCGGAATGAAAACTATGTTAATATTTGGTCCTGTTTAAAATTGGTAATCTTTTTTTAAAAAAAGTTATTTAGAAAATAGTTAAGATATTTGTTATAGAATGACGCTAAAGAGCCAAAAAATTAAATTTGTTAAAAAGTTGAAATTTTTGTTGTTTTTCTTTAAAAATATAAGTTTTTCGCGATTTAGCGTCATTCGGTTCACTTTTAGAACGATTGGCCTGAACCATTTTTTTTTACATTTTTTTTAACTCCCTCAAATGTAAAATTGATTTTTGGCGGAGGAGTGCCAGTCATGTTTGCTCTTAAAGAAGCAATGATAATTCCAGTGTATAAAAAGGGAATAAAATAGAAGTATTCAACTACCGACCTAT